ACAGACCTAAAGAGATTACTTATTCCGGAAATTTAATATCATACAGTTAATATATTGGAAGGCGGTGATAGTTGAAATATAGGGTAATGATGTGTCAAAAAAATATTTAGGAAATTATTGATCCTTTATCTACTAAAATAGTGAATTAGCTAAGTGAGCAGAGACAGTATATTTACAATTCAGAAGTTAGGTGAAGGAATTGTACCTCCTTCTATGACCTTCGGAAGTGAAAGAATATTTGTGACCAAAACGAAAAGTAGGTATACCATTTGATCCGAAAAGAAATTGTAAATAAAACCTGGAGAAACAAAAGGAAAATGGACATTATGGTTAATTTTGAATGACCTTTTTAGATAGAGAAGTAGGTAAAGTCCGTCGATTTAAATCTGATACTCCAAAAAAATGTGAGCTGGTGTTTTCCTACGTTAGAACGCCAATGGTCACCACAGGACGTCACACCGATTTTTGCCATATACTTCACCTCCTCGCTCCTCATACGGAAAGTGACAGATTAAAATCGATGGATAATATCTACATACCTATCAAGTATACTTTCTCAAAAAGTAAATAATACAGAATCAACAATTCAACAGGGAAAAGACTAACTAAATGGTGTCGTTCTCTAATAGAGAGATACATAGATCTGGTTGGAATCACTGAATTTCAACAAATTAAGTGTAAGAATGTTGCAAAATGTCGCCTAAAAGCAGATAAGAGCCTGGAAACGGTAAAGAATACAAAATAGGAACATGGATTCAGCTCGTCATAGCATCACTAGCGAATTTAATTATTCGGAAATCACAGAAAATCATAGAGGAAGTTTTGATAGGATATTGCGAATGATGATCCCCTAAGATAACCCACGACGAAACATTTTGATAGAGAGAAGAGAGAATCGAAAATTAGAGTAACTCAGTTGTTTTAAACTTCAAGAGTATGCAAATATACTAGGAATGGATTGAACCTTTTATTTCGGAGACCTCAAGCATGCTTTTGATAAAAGCAGATAGTAAACAATCTTAATTGAGATTGAAGAAACAAAGACTTTAAATGATTTTGAGCAAGTCCTTAATAAAACCTTCGTTGGTGAAAAAAGTACCTGCAAGAGAGAAATAGATAGGTACCAGATTACATCAACAAAAACACGGAAGATTCTCAATTTTTTTTCACGAGAAGAATGAATTCTGCTTGGATCTAGAAGTTATTATTCCAAAAAACCCTAGAGTATATTCCTATGGGACTATCGCAAAGCTCATCATGATGAAGGTGAGCATCGTTCATTCAATAGGTGAAAGGATCCAGAAAGGAAGAAATTATAGATTCTAATAGTGGTCCAAAAATTAAAGGAAGGCATAGATAATGAAGATGAAAATTCGAAAATATTTCAAGCGGCATCAGAGTAGCGGATATTGAATAGGTCGTTGTTACGTAAATACTAATTATCACTAAAAAACGACTTTCTAGTTTTTTGTACTTTTATCTAGACTTTTTTGGTAATTTTATAGTTATTATTGCAACAATTTAAAATTTAATAGCTACAGTAGGTAGGTACTTCTAGTTAGCTTTTGAAGTTTCTGGAACGGGACTGTTAGTATGTAAAATAGCTTAATAGTCGCAAAGACTTGAAAGCAATATTCGATATTTCCACTAATTTTGTCTTGTTACTCGTATATCATTTCAAAGTTTTCATTACTTTATAGTATTTTTGAAATTCCTTCAAGCTTATGGAACTAGTAAGTAATATTTAAGATAAAGGTAATTGTCCGGATACTCATGAAAACTACTTCACAGTAATTTTCATATCCCACTTTGTCTTAAAATCATCACAAAGTTCCAATTAGAAAAAACACTTTGAAGTAACGGTCACTGTAAGGGACGAAAATATCTATACCCCTTGTCGGCAATCGGCAATGTATTACATAATTCGAGAATACACCTATTAACCCTCCGTACACACACTGGGGTCTACCGGACCCCAACAAAAGTTTGAAATCGTGGCAAATTACGGAACTTTTAGCGATGGTTTCAAGACTCCATATAAATTTAGTTTATGGCCCTGACTACCTAAACCCCAAACGGCAGAATCAAGCATTTATTAGTTTATTACTGACAAGCGTGTTGCTAGGTCGCGGGATCTAATATACCCCAGTGTGTGTTGCGAGTAACTTATTTGTGAATATACTTTTTGTATGTATCGAATAATTTGATACCAATTTTTCTTTGTTTGTATTTTATTTTACTTTTTTGATAAGAGAATTTATTAGATTTTATTCAAGAATATTCGTTTTCGTTCATAGAAAGTTATTTTTCCACTAAAACATTTTTATTGAATTTTTTTGTATAGGTACAATGTAACAGAATTGTAACAGAATATTTTTTTGTTTTATAGTACAAAAATATTATTTTTTCAAGTGTTAGGTTTTGCTTTTTGAACAAATGAACATCTATTAATATTAATATCCTAAAACGTGTAATTTTTTTTTTGTGTTAAGAACCAGCAATAAATGCTTGGTGTATCAAGAGTGTGTTTGGTGTTTTCAAAAAATATGTATGAGTACGGAGGGTTAATTGAAGGCTAAAATTTTGATTAGAACTTCATAGTGACAATGGGGACTTAATCGTGGCTCTGGGAACTTGATTAATTTGTAGTTATCGCGACTATAAATTTTGAAATATCTACAAGAAATATTCTACTTAATCGTAATTATTACTTTAATTAAGTAATTATTATAAAAAATGATAAAAGTGTAGTGGACGCTACTTGCAGTAAAGTTGTCAATCCTTCATACAAACATTTTGTAGTAATAATGAAGTAATTTCTGAAAAAGGAGCCATATTTACTGACGTAAATTGAAATAATTGCTCAGCGAAATTACCGATTTATCTAGGAACGACGGCATTGAAAACATCTATGAACGATGCGTTCTGACAGTTTGCAAACTGTAAGAGGCTTTGTAAGAACAGACCTCACGTCGTTACATCCCTGTCACGTAGTTGGAACGTTAGTGCGACGCACCCACATAATGAACAAGAAAGCAATCAGAAATGTAATCCGAATGCTTACATTAAAGGAAAATGAAATTGAAGCCCGCTATAGGTTTTGGAAGCCAAGGAAATTTGATCCGAAAGAGAGATGCAGAAGAAATACAATTAGACCTTAAACCACTACAACGACGAAATGAAAGTTTGTGGATTTGAATAGGAAAAGGAGGAAATTTCACGAGAAGCAAATGTCACCGTATAACAAATGTATACCAAGTTAAATTAGAAACCCAGCTTATATGTGTAGAGTCTTAAAGTAGCAATATAATTAGAACGAACAAAAGTTTCAAAAAAGGAGTAAAATTGGCATAATGGTGATGGAGTAAACCAAGGCTTGATCAGACTGGTAAATGAAAACGGATTGTTTTGTTCTAAACTAGGCAAAGTTCGAATGTAAAATAGAAACTACGACTGAAAAGCTCATAGCTTATCGACCATATAGATGAAGCTAATCTGAGAAAAGATTATCATCTTGAGCAACTAGTCCGAAACCGCAAACTAACCTCTCGGGAACATCGTAGTTTTTAATCGCCAATTGGTTTCTAGGATCGCTTTTATTTAAGTGCACGTATATAGGACTAAAAAATATCTCACAATAATTATTCGAGAAAAGTTTTGATAATTTTTATTGCAGACCCTGTAATTAAGAACACTGAAAATCGGTGCAGGGTGCAGTTATGGGTTTTAGGTGATTCAAAATAAGATAACTCCGTTAGAAGTTTCTTAAAAAATACCTAATAGCTTTGCTAATAGAAATTTGAGTCTAAAAAAAGTGGTCATAGTTGGCCAGCATTGCGGCCCAAAAATTGAGTTAGGCATTTCGTTGATTAAAAGCGGTCTGATAAAAGCTTTACAAGGGTGATAGGTCCTTAACCTGGACACAGTAAAACCATTACTTGCCATTACATTTATGGACGAATTTATCGTTTCGAATAAATTGATCCTGTCGATACTTACATTCGTAATTTTAACTCGATTTGAATTTACTTTTAACTAATTCAACTTTTCGTTCAGCAGTTTATTTCAAATTGATGAAGAAAAAAAAATTATAGCTTATATCTTCATCTATTCAATACAATAAGAAATAATCTAGAGAACCGAAATAAACTATCTCTTAATTAAACAAAATCTAATTTAAATTTAATTTGCAGTAAATATACCTTCGAAATAAGCAAATGTAGTAAGTATGTGTAGAAAGTTTTCTAAACTAGGCGTAATTGCTGAACCGCGAAACTTTCCTATATATAACTACCCAGAAAGTTTCCTCTTCACCAAAAAAGACAAATAAGGAGATCCAAACTTTAGATAAAGCAGTAATAGTAAATTAATACTTTCAGCTTTAATTTGGTTAATGTAATGGAACTTGTAGAAAATAAGTTTTGGGAAGGAAAGAACTAAGTTTGTAAGTCAGCAAACTGATATAAATATATACCTAGATAAAGTGCATAAGTACAATTGAAATGTCGAAGACTTTAACAAGTAAAAGAAAAAGTAATAAATGCATGCCTGAAAATATTTAAAAACAAAAATAAAATTCATATGAAGGAAAATTAAATATAAGCACCATACAGTGGAATATTGTCAAATTGTTCGACCAGACTGTAAATATCCGAAAATTACCTACCCAGAAAAATTAACTGGCTTAGAACATATTTAAAGACAGCTTCCGAGAAGAAAAGTTTGAACCTGTATCTCTGGATGAATTGCTAATATTTTTGCCTATTAATGAAATTTATTATTCTAAAATAATAATGTTTGAATGGGTATTGCTTACATATTCAGCTTTTCACTAGCATGTTGTATGATCTGCACCGTTATCAACCTTAACTCGATCTAAAAATAAATAATAATTGTCGCTTAAGCAATAATGCACTGTTGGTAATATTTTAAATTTTCTTAAAGATTTCATCATACGTTTTCACCCAGAAAAAGTTTCAAAAAAAATCTCATCTGGTTTTCTTGTGTGGGGTGTGGACTTATTGGCAAGGTTAACAGCCCGAGTATAAAATAGGTCGGTTGCAACTGCAATAATCACAGTCCAGAAAAACAGTGATTGAACAACAAAATGTACGCCCTGGTAAGTAAACCTATATTTGTATTCTTTTAAAAATATATACAGTTTGAAAAAAATATATTTTCCTGAAAAATACCTACCCTAGTCCACATATAAATTAAAACAGTATAAAATTTGTAACTCGCCCTATGAGCGGCATCTACTAAAACCGGTGCCGGAAATGGGATAGATTTGTTTATTAATTTTTATTTTTAACCATTTTCACTTTAAGTAAAAACTTCGTTTTTAAAATCGTCAAGTTTCGTTGTTACTGGTTTCGAAACTAAACAGACAAATATTTCAAATTTCACGATAATAGAAAAACACATAAATATTCACTGATCTCAAAAGGCAACGACATAAATGTTCTTTACGTGGTGCAAACTCAACTCAAACTATCAAAATTGAATATCAGTGACAAATCATCTCATATTATAGTTTAGATTCTATCACCAAGTTTCTTGAATGGCTAAAGTCGAGTTGTCACTTTGTTACAAAAAATGTATTGTGCTCCAACTCTAACCATAATTTTTTCTAGACTGCTATCACCCTTATCGGCGCTCTCGCCTTTGCCCATGCTGGTGGCATCGGTGTAGGTTTGGCTGGAAGCATTGACAGTGCAGCCACCCTCATTGGCCCATCTGGTACCGTATCCAGATCAGGACTTGCAGCTGTTGGCCCAATTGCTGGACCCGGAGCTATCATTGCTGGAGCCGCCCCTGGTAAGTTCTTAAATTTGAATCCAAAAATCAAAAAATAGTAGGATGCATAGTGTAAGTCAACACTAGGAAAGTTTGGATACAAAATCTTCGATTCTAGCATGTGTTAATAATAATAATAAACACTATTTTCATTCTAGGAGTTATCTCCGCTGGTGGAATTGGTTTGGGAGTCGGTGGTTTGGGAGTCGGTGGTTTGGGAGTCGGTTTAGGATTGGGCGGATTAGGTTTGAACGGTTTGGGTTTGGCCGGAAACCAATTGGCCGTTAAAGCTCTGGGACTCGAAGGATCTGGCATCGAAGGTCAATGGATTCCAGACATCAACGAACAATTGCACGATGACGGTAGCTGGAGGCCCGATGTCCATGGATAAGAAGCCTGTGTAGGATATCCAATTCTATTATTTACGACTGATAAATCATTCAAATCAATGCTGTGTACCTCATTTTATTGTCAAAATAAAAAAAATTAATTGATATTATCTGTTCTTCTTTTCTTTCTTTCAGCAAGTGTCTAGGGGAGCGCTCTATTTTCTTGGCTCTATAGGCGAAAGACACTGACGCTCTTTCGAATGGTTTGATAATAGTTTAAATTAATAGGAAACTTTATTGTATATCGGAAACTCCGCAATATTACCGAGAATTTAACCAGCGGGCTGAAGCTCGCCCGAAATGTGCCGTTGCATCGTTGACTCTGAATGCCAGCAAAGAGCTCTTAGGGATGGTGCTCAAATAATTTAGTAATGAGGGCCTTTTCAGACGCGGAATAATAATTATTAGCCTATGGCTATTACCAATTAATACTTACTACTTTATAAGTTAAGCTATTGAAAATCCTAGTAATTACGCTTTATATTTCTTCATCTGCTTTATTAACGTGAAATCAAACTTATTTTTTGTCCTGCCTGGCGGTAAAATTATCAAGTCATCAGTTTTTGATAAGTGGATTTTCAGGCTGTTCGGCCGTCGTCATTGGAGATCGGTTCTCGACGTTTCGCCATCACGAGTGGATATCATCTTCAGGAGATGTTGTTTGCTGAGCAACTGATCCAAGACAAGTGGCTCAGCACTTTAGATCTCTTAGTGAGTTTGATTCAGTTCAAGGGCGAACTATTGATCTTATTATTTAAAATTTGAATAAATGAGGTAATTTGATGACAAATGATGGGGGCCTCTAAGTTATTGGAAATTTTTTTGACACATTCGAGAAGTTGGTAGGGGCAGTAGGTCTCTAGGAAGAACGAATCTATCTTGAGGCTGGAGCGAGTGTAAGACTCACAGACGAGGGGTTTAAAACTGGCATCGGCTTTTTGGTCAAGAGCTTGGCGATATATTGCTCAATTGTATCGATATGAAGATCATCGTGGAGCACTTGAGTACGGGTGTACATCGGCGCGTCTACGACGATCTTAAAAACTTTTTGAATTTTGCACCTATATGGATCGCCGCACTAGTGGCCCAGGTCGGCCGGCGCCCAATAGGTGATTACTGACCTAATCATGGCAATTTGCGTGTTTTTTATCAGACCCAGGTACCTCACTTTCCTGGACCAGTTCATTGGCCTTCCAGCAACTCTCAGCATGTGATCTAATATTGGTTTCTGTCGAGTAATCTTCGCGGGATTGAGTTTTATTTTCCAGTCCGCCATCCATCTCTCTATTTTAGAGATGTGTCTACCAAGTCTTGATAATATTATTGTGAGGGAATTAGCTGATGAGAGGATGGCGCGGATGAACGGAAAATCGCTAGTAAAAATGTTGAATAAAATGGAAGAGAGGAGGGAGCCTTGGGAGACTATTTTATTTATTTATTTATTAAATAGTTGCCCTTGTACATTGTACATTGTATATACAGTATGACTTATATGCTAATGATTCTTAAGACTATAGGGTTCCTATAAAGCGTTTCTAAAATTATGGTTGATAATTCACAAGTATGATTATTATGAATGGTAAATGGTTACAAGTTTAATGTCCTGACTAGTTTGGCCTCGTCAAGCTACTTGGTAGAGGGGGTTGGGGATGTCATAAAGTGGTTATTGGTTTGGATCTATTTGGTTGCTATTTTCACTACAGGGTTGTCCAGCCTGGACTACCCTGTGGTGTGTTGTCCCTGCGGCTTCCTAGTCCTTTCCACAGTGGTAGGGAGTCCGAGAACCCCTTCAGTCTCAATTCTCCAGCACCTCTTCATGGATCACCCGACGAGTTTGTCGGTAAGGTATGGTGTCTCTGGTGTATGTCCCGATGTTCCTGGTAATGTCGAGTCTTCTGGTAGTCTGTGTGAAAATTTTCCTTGTCCCTTCGAGGAGGTCGTCCTTGAGGGGTCGGATATTGGCCCCCCTGTATACCCTGTCATTGGATACGTACTGGTCCCATGTTATGCTCAGTGCCGTCCCGAGCATTTTTGTCTCGGTACTCCACAGCAGGGCTTTCTCCGATGGATGCCGAGCTCCATACTGGGTAAGAATAGCTTAGTATTGGTTTAACATATGCCTGGTATAGCTTGATTTTTGTTTCGGCAGTCAGTCTGGATGCTGTCGAGATGAAGGGGTAGATGGCACTTCCTGCCAGTCTTGCCCTTGAGCGCACTCACTTGCAGTGGTCGTGGAAAAGGAGTTTTTTGTCCAGTTTAACTTCCAAGTATGTTAGATCGTTGTTCGGATTGATCTGGTTGTTGTTGATTGTGATGTAGTTCTGGTCGTCTTTTGTAGTTGAAGTGTATTAGGTTGGTCTCTGCGTGACTTAGTTTGAGTTTCCATTTAGTGCAGTAGGCGCCTATTGCCCTGACATGCTGTTCGATTTTCAAAATCGAGATTCGGGTTAGTTTCGAGTTGGTGTACACAGATATGTCGTCAGCATACATGGCGAGGTTGGTATTCGGTCTCTTCGGTATGTCGTTTATGAAGATATTGAAGAGGGTGGGGGATATGACAATGCCTTGGGGTAGGCCCTCTGTGATTAATTTTGTGCCAGATTTCGCGTTTCTAATGTTTACGCTGAATCTTCTGCTTCTAAGGTAGCTCTCCGTGATTCGAACTATCGCTAGGTAGAATCCTAGGTTAAACATTTTGTATATGAGGGCCTTTCTCCAGACATTGTCATATGCCTTCTCCATATCTAGTGTGGCTAAGGTTGTGGTTTGATGATTATTTGGCTGTTTTCCAGGTGCTTGGTTATCCTTTTGTTCAGGATCCGCTCCAATACTTTCCCAAGAAAGTTCAGTAGCGAAATGGGTCTGTTTTCTGGTTTGTCTTGGTCCTTGCCCCGCTTGGTGAGTATGTTGGTTTTGGCTTCCTTCCAATCATTGGGGAAGTACTGGAGTTTTATACATGCATTGTAGATGTATGTTAGCTGTACAAAGGCTTTCCTTGGTAGGAACTTGCAAACTTTTGCAACAATTTGTCGTTCCCTCCGACCTTGTAGGGTTTTGATTTACAGATAAGTCTGGCGATCTCTCTAGGGCTGGGCAGTATGTTATCTGCATTATCTAGGGCACTGTCCACAAAATTCCAGAAGGTGTGGAAGACCTGCCTTCTGGTGGCGTCATCCGATAGTTGTTCAGTGAGTTTACTTGTTTTGATTGGTTGACTTGCACACGCCTCGGTTTTTCCTTGTATGTCTGTGATTGTATTTATTTGTCCTGTTGCGTTGGCTATTTCTGTCCCTGTAGCCTTTTATATGTTTCCATATGCTGCCTTCATCGTGAGATGCTAGCATTCTCTTATTCCACTCCTCGTTTAGGTGTGACGACATTAGTGATTTAACCAGGGTGCATTGTTCCAGGTATTCAATTCGGTTGAAATGGTTCCTGGTTCTCTGCGCTCTTGCCCTTAGCTGGTTCCGTTTCTCTATTTCCCTTTGAATGTATTTGGGGAACTTTTGTGTGTTTGTATGCTGTCCAGTGAGCATCCTTGTAGTTTACGAATGGTTTAGGGGTGTTGATTAATTTGTTGTTCGATTTTGAGCCAGACTGGAAAGTGATCGGATTTTGGTTCCAACAGGGTTCTGGCGGTTACGACTATGTTTCTGGTGAATCCAATATCTATATAGTGGAGTTTGCTTGTGGTCTGGTGGGTTGGTCTGGAGCTATAATCTGTAGGTCTGTTACGTTTAGGATGCGATTTAGTAGGTTTCCGGCTGTGTTGGCGCTGTAGTTATTCTAGTCGGGGTGTTTGGCGTTTAAATCTCCGACTAAAATCGTTTTTCAGTTGGGACAATATTTATTTATTTTTGTTGCTAAATCAACACAGTACCAATATTGGGGCAACGTTAGTTTTAACTATGTGGAAATAATATTTAAATATTATCTTGCACCAATATTGTTTTCATAGATTAATTAACTTTTTAGTAATTTGAATATTGGCCCAAGACTTCTCACTACAATATTGATTTATGTTGTTTGGGAAAATTTGTTGTTCAAAGTCCTGACTTGATTTATTAGCTCCTTGATGGTGAACTTGGCATTCAGTTCATCGATCTCTCCAAACAATGCTTGGAAGTCCCCAAAATTGGCTGATTTGTTGGTCTGGTTAGGCAGTTGGGGGAATTCCAGTCTCGTGCGGGTCGCGGGTTTGTCCTGGTTATTTGTTTGGTTATTTGTCTGGTTGTTGGTGGCTTAGATGTATGATAAGCCTTGCTTGGAGCTGCTTTGGCTGTGTACTGGCCATGTGTTCCTGAAGTTTGGGGCAACTTCTGAAGTTTGCCGCGTGTTCACCATCGCAAATGGCACATTGCATTTTGATATGGTATTCGTTCACTCCACGCTTCCTAAGGCAGTCTATTGCTATCGATTGTTTATAGTTAGAAGCGTCGTGGCCGAAGCCCTGGCATCTATAGCATTGAGTTATGTTATTGCGTTTATGGCAAGTTTCCCATTTTATGCAGGTATGTTCGATGTGTTTGGTTTTTTTGAGCAAGCCTATGTTCGTTTCTTTTGTTGTGGTAATTAGGTAGGAATGACCTTCCCCACGGTTAGTTTTCATCTGTACACAATTGTTCATTTGATGTTTTTGGCTGATGATTTGCTTTACCTTCTCGGTGTCCATATTGAGGGGACCCTTAAATACTATCCTCTTCCGTCTCTCAGTGTGTGTTGTATTGGATATTATTGGTGTCTAAATTTGATCGAACCAGTACGTGGTCTGCTAAGGTTTCAGTATATATTTTGATCTCTTGTGGTGAGTATTTTCGGAAGAAGGATTTTCCCGCTAACAGTTCGGTAATGGTGGTTTTGAACGGGTTAAAATTTACCTTAGAGGTGACCATCATTCGATGATGGGACGGGACTGACTCTGGGCATGGTGTAAACGGGCACTTCTTCTCCTTGGTCCTTGTTCTCAAGGATCCTCTTGGCTGGTCTTCTGATGACACCCTGGTTCCTCGAGCTCATTAGAGCGAGCCCTGGAGTCGGCACTTGTTCGCGACGCGCACCACTTCACGGCTAAATTCACTTAGAAAATAAAACTGCGCACTTGGTTTCTCGTAAGCATCGGGTATTGGCACTAGTCAAAAATACCGTCAGACAGACTAAGAATCGCTTTGAGATCTCTCTTCGCAGCAAAACACGTTTACTCTGCGTGAGCTCAGCTCAGAATTGGGGGACTTCCGCACTTATGTCATAAAAAGCTGAGCATTGCCAGTCGGCCACAACCAATAATCTCCTATTTTGGAGAAAGCTATTCTCAACTTTGATGAAGTATCTGAGGAAGACAAGCATTGACATTTTGATGATAAGTGCCCTATGCACCCTGTCAAAAGCTTTTGCAATATCCAGATAAATGTCTTCGTTGTGGAAGTTCCTGTTGAACCCTTTCAGAATTATTGAGGCCATGCGTGTGGTCTGGTTCACTGTTTCCAGTCCAGAAACGAATCCCAATTGTTCGTAGGGGAAAAAATTTGGTAATTTCAGCATGCTCATTTAAACGTCCCAGAATGACCTTTCTGCCGATGTTTGAAAGGAGTCTATTGGGTCTGTAGGAAAATATGGGTTTTGGATTTTCACTCCTGTTTCTACTTAGCATGATATTAGCTTCTTTCCAAACACCGGGAAAGTGGTCGAGCGAAAATGTAGCATTGGCTATGTGACCAATTATGATTTTAATGTTTTTGGGAACGTTTTCTAGGGCTCTGTTGGGAACAGCATCCATACCTGACAGGATACTTCCCACCTCGACGACGCGACGGTGGCAAAGAGTTGGTCACGGTTGTAAGGCGTGCCCCCGTAAATATTGTATGACGCATTTATTGAATTTTCTTTTCTAGGGTTCTGCACTGGGTTTTCGGTGAACTGGATGGAAAGGGTTGAGGGGAACAACTCGGCCTTCTCGCTCGGGAGGCACACAATCTGGTGCTCTCTTTTAACTAAAAATGCATTCGGGCAAATTTTCTCAAAAATTATCGATAATTTTCATTGCACTCATTATATTACTATTGATTATTTTCTCTAATCGGAGCTTGATGCGAGCTAACAACAGGTTGTGGTCCGATGGTATGTCCGCGCCGGGGTAAGTTTTACAGGAGAAAAACCATTGCGATATCTTCTGTTTATCATCACAAAGTCAATCTGATTCCTTACGATTTTATGATTGCTGTCATTCGGAGATCGCCAAATGTAGAGTCTTGAAAAAGGTATTCATGATTGTGAAATCTGTTTCTTGGTAGAATTCTATTAGGCGCTCTTCCCTTTCATTTTTCACTCCCAGACCCAAACCGTTGTACCCCCCGCCGCTGTCGCCCTGTCATTGGGAATGTTAATCTGTTTTGGGGTTTTAGCCAGGTCTCCTGGACCAGGAGAACAGCAACTTCAAAGTTCTCCGGAAATCTGAGGAGCTCGATCTTTTTGCGCAAAGTTGAATTGATGTTGATTGTCGCAATCTTCAAATGACAAGGCTTCAGCATTCTATCTAGTTCTTTGACTGCTCAGCTATTGGACTTCTGACGGCATCATTAGGAGGAGAAGCTGAACGAAATGCTGTTGCGTGTTAAGCATGAATTCCGGCATATTGTCCTGCAAGGAGTTTAATGTATGGTAGCGAGTGGTTTCAGGTTCCCTCTCTTGGGAGCCTGGTTATTTTGACTGCCTTACTGAAAGATGCCGCCCGACAAAATAGATTGACCTTTGAAAAAAAAAAGGATGGTGATTATTTTTGTTACAGATAATGTATCAAATGCATTATCTATTGTGTTTGGGTGGTCTGATATGTGGTCAGATATTTTTATGTGTTTAATTTTTTAAATTCCTCATGTTTTCAAGTCATACTATAACTTCACATCACTAAATCACTATTAAAACTGGAGGAATGTTCCTCAGATATCACGATTCATGATTTGAATCCATCCATCCTTTTTTTCCGGTCCGGTGACCTTTTTGTTGCTGTTAGAGTGCTGCAAGCCGGCCGTTTTTATTTCTGCCTTCGGGCTTCCTCTTTTTGTCTTTTTTTCTTTCTCTTGTATCTTGTTTTTCATTCTGTCTTCGCGCTTCTTCTTCTCGATTTCCTTCCTCTCTTCGAACTTCCTCTTCTTGTTTTTCATTCTGAGTTTTTTTTTTTTCTTGTTTTTCTTTTTGTCTTCGGGTGTAAAGACACAATCGCATTCCGGAATACGCGCCCTCGCTTGGTTCTTAGATAAACTCACGCGGTTCGTAATTATTCTTGCTGGCTTCTTGGACCCAATGTTGTTTCCAAACAGAATGCTCCATCAGTATGGAATCTTGAGTTTTCAGGAAGGGTGTCAAGAGATTTTGCTATGTTTAAAACTGCTGCGCCATCTATTAGCAAATATTCCAGAATTGCATCATAGCGAACAATTGTTAGACCTCAACTATTTTTTTAAATAAGATGATGTTTGAGTTATCTATTTGGGAGAGTGGGGAACCTTGAGAGAGTGATATCTATTTCTATTATATTAAAAACAAGACATCGAATGTGAGTTTTCTAATATAGCTCATTTTTTCGTTTTATTTTCAAAAAACAAAAACAGATCACTTTTTTTTATTAATTCTCAAAGTTCGCTGTTAGCTTTTTTAAAGTTGAATCAAACTCCTTGTCCATCAGCTGTCGAGATAATATAGCATTATCTTCCGACGCTTACTCAGTATATTTTTGTTATAGTTGAAGAATGATTATCAATGTAAAATTTTAAATCACCGAGGTATTAAAGAAATATGGCTATTATCAATATTTATCGAAACTAATTATTTCACTCAAATAGTTACCATTCACAAAGGTAAACTGCTGCTAATTTAAACACGCCTGGTAATTGTACTCGAAAGTTAAGATCAACTTAGCCTGTTGCAGTTAGCGTTTAATAGTTCCAAGGAATAAACAAGTTTGCAAATGCTTACTTAAGTAAACTTCGAGAAATTTAGATATTCCGGAAGTTATGTTTGAAGCGTTGAATACCATTCAAGTAGAGCTTTACTTAGAAATTCAAAGAATTATTGTATTTAGAATGCGTGTGAATATCAAAGTATGATCAAAACTTAAACAAAAAGGAATCCTAGATCAAAGCTCAACAACTTAAAAAAAAATATTATTTATTGTTAAATTTGTAATGCTACATATATAAATAAATTCATCAGTCTCCATTAACTTCAGTAGTGTTCTGGTCTGTAGCTACCATCATCAAACAAATGTTCGAATTTATCAGGAATATATTCTCCGCTCAAATCAGGACTGCTACTTTCAGTTTCATAAGTTGTTTCAGGCAATTCAGTAGCTGTAACAGTTTCACTTGTCTCTTCTGTAACTGGCACCGATTCTCTAGTTTCTACTCTCTCTGGAGTTCCCGGATGGAGAAGTACTTTTTGACCATCCTCGGACACTCGAGAAATTTTAGAGGCTTCAATATTAACATTGTCTTCAAGCACAGCGTTGGTTGCTACAGGTTTAGGCGGCTCAGCTATGGCAAGTTCTTGTTGTTGAAGTCCAAAGTAATGCGGTTCAGCGACAGCAATAGCAGGCTGGGCAAGTACAACAGGAGCAGCCTGAAGAAGAGGTCCAGCTTGATTGTCTTCTAGAAGAATTTTGCCTCCTGGAGCGTAGGCGTCGATGATGCTTCCATCTGGTCCGATTACTTTAGTTCTAGTGCTTGGGCCTTCGAGGAATTTGGCCGAAGGGACTAGAATTAGGCCAGCTTGAGCCAGAGCGAGACAGGAGATGAAAACACAAGTTATCTAAAAAGAATAGGTGATTGTAATATATTTGAAATTGAATTAAAAGGAAGTGGGTAAATAACGGATTGAACATCATATATTTGAAGATCTGTCATTAAAATTCATTATTTAATATCGTTTGGAAATTGAATTAAAATAAACTAATAAAAGTTTGTTGCACTATTTGGATTACACAAATTTACCACGAGAAAGGCCACGAATATTTAGATAAAAATCAAGAAAAAAATTAGAATATAAAATTCAACTTGATATACCTAAATATTAACCTTCAAAATATTACATAAAATGTAATTATTATTATAATTATTACGTAAAAAAAGATAAAGTGGGTGGGTACCTACTTTTTTGTCCATATTGCCGGTACGCTCGTTGCCCGAGTTAAAACACAATGACTTCACAATCCGAAACCGTACTTTTTATATTCCAAGACGTCCTTGCGATTTTCGATTCATTTAATAGGTTCAATAACCAATTTGATACCGGTAAGAAGATATTTTAACGAGCTTTTGGTGCACGGACGAAATCTGACGAATAAGTGGTTATAATGGTATGCAGAAGAAAATATAAGGCGTTTGTTGCTGTACTGATATGGGCAGTAGTTTGGTTTATTGAGTTCGACTTTTAAGGCCAGGTTCAACTGATTTAAACAAACAGGCACATGTATTTCAGGAAATTGTATATTTCTAATTCGCAGTTACCTACCTAATTTGACAGATCAAATTTCTAGTTTTTTCGTCAGCATAAAGGCAACTTTGATTCGAAATCTCCAATAACTGATGAATAAGTTTTTAATAAATATGTCGAAATTTTGAAACTGTGAGTATAAAAGGGCGAAAAGCTGAGCTCGGAGCTCCAAGGTCTTGTAAGAGGAAGAAGGCATATTTTACCGGAAGGAAATATGAAAATTTTCTTCGCTATGTGAGAAAAAGAGGCAGAGGAGGAGGCCATTCATGCGGTGATCTGCCACCTTCAGTTGACATACCATGAACTGATCGAAGACGAATTAAAGGACCATGGGATCATGGAAGCCAAAGTCAGTCAACTTACTAAGGCTGAAATAACTTTAGAAATATAGTTAGACCCTTAGATAATCCCAGTGATTCACAACATTGGGCGACTAGTTTGAGCGTTCGAGACATAGCACCAAGATTGCCCTGTCATCAGACCAACGAGGAGACGACCAGATATCGAGCATTCCAGGAAAAAATAAGTTATGGTAACTGAAAACAGACTCCGTAAAGAATAGACAGTAGTCCAGGAAATCGATGTCAGGAAAGGGTGTTCTGAAAAAAGGTGTGCTGAATCTGAATTTCAAATTTGCCGCACGCTATCGTGGTCGCCTTTACCCAAAATTCGACAATTTATTTAAATTTCATGTTTTTTTTCTGGTTAATCGTTTTTAAACTTTATTTTTTATTGTTTGGGTAGTACTTTCTATTTTTAGATGTACCGCACACATTCAAATGCGCGTATATTATACCTCTGAATATCTATGGTGCTGACCTGGATGCGCCCCACCCCCACTTCTTCAAACTGCCCGTCGTAGCACATTGTCAAGGTTGTTTGAGAGAGGTAGGTTGCCTGATAACTTTAATGACGTCATCTGGGGTGCCTCAACATAATGCAAATTTCCATTAAGCACCACAGATGACTTCACCAAGCTACCCATTACCAGACAATTTAACCTTTTAGCTTTAGGAGCCTTGGCGCATAGCGGGGTTATGTAACATAACCATACTTATGCTATACCTTCATGTATTCATTGCCTCGGCCCGGCGTCCTGTTACAATCCTGCTCGAAGTTTTTTTAGTGCGTGTTCCGTGTTTACATGTTAGTATCGTAGTCTTATAAATGAATGAAAATGTTTTTTGTATGATAAGAGCACAGAATAAGACTTTGAAACATGGTTATGCAACGAGTGTTGTGAAGGAAAAGCAGTTGGCATCATTTGTTTTGTCCAGTAGAAGAAGAAAGGATGGTAAGGTTGAAAATTTCAATGGAAGGGTTTTCCTGGAGGTTCGTAAAAAATGTCACCAACATTATGCGACTGATCGAAGCATAGAAGCCCATTTGAAGAGAGTCCAACTGCAAGGAGATAGCATCGCAACCCGCTCGGATGTAGAAGTATTTAATTTTAATGCCCACTGCTTCCTGTGTGGAAAACCCAAAGGTTATGCCAGGCACAAGTCGGAAGCAAAAATAAAACATAGAGATACAGTTAATTTTGAGCGGCTATGACACTGTTTGCTAAGAGACGGATTCTGCCTGTGTGTTACTTACCTGCAGCTAAGGCCAAGTATCATAGATCGTGCTTAAAGAAGGTATACTACTTGAATACCTTAAATCCATCACAACCGGCTGGCAGACCTCATAGCGATGTTGATCATGTAATGACATCAATTCACATATTTCTTGAAAACAATGATGAAGAGTGTCAATTTTCCATGAACGAGCTCATCAACAAAGTTGAAAGCGATACCATAACACATCCCAAGACCATAAGAGTTCGACTGATTGGAAAATATGGAAATGACATGGTTGTATCATCAAGTGCTCCCCACGTTTGCTTTAAAAACACTGGCCACACAGCCTTACAGATGCATGGTACCGGCAAAAGAGAGGATCTAAAGAAGAAGAAAGACTTTCGATTGTGGAAACAGCAACTGCTATAATCGCAGAAGATATACGTGGGCAAGTTCACAACACCACGCGGTATTTCCCACCTCATATTTTGGAAGGAGCAAAAGATCTAATTCCAGAGACTCTCAGAGTGTTTGCGGATGCTGTTATTCTACACAAAAAACGGAGTGGTTCTGATAAGTGGTCCAGGAAAGCGACAGCAATTGCACATTGTCTAATGGCTGCAGTTAGCCCACATTCGTTTTTGTCTTCGCTACAGGTCGGGTTGGCTGTATTTATATACAAGAAGTATGGCTCGTGGATTTTGGTCGCTGTGCTGTTAACATTGGAAATATCAGCCATAATGCAGCCTCCGATGGTGCTGAACGAGCAAGCCCTTTCCCAAATAATATTGCACAATGTAGACTTTAACGTACAAACGTCAGATCGACGAAACACGTTTCATTCAATGGGAGGGATCGTGTGTGTGACGCCTAAATGAGCAGTGGCTCGTAGTCAGGAGATAGATCGCACTACACGAATTCCTGAAGCAGAAGAGATTGCAAGGGTAGGCGCAATCAGCTTACAACATTTTGAACGTTTAATCGGTGTAGGATTAACAGCAGTTACTATTAAAAAAACTCACTGAAATGTATCCCCATGTCACATACTCCAAGTCAATTATTCCTACAACGCCTCATTTGTTTTAGCTCTTCTGTAAATGTAAGGAGCTCCCTGGAGTTCGAAGATGGAATGGATTTATGCAAGAGGTAACAAAATCTCTCCCATACGAAACAACACGCATTTCCTGTCTACCATTTGGTAATGCCGCTTCCAACGATTAAGCCGTCATGTATACTGCATTGTTGAATGCTGTTGAGAAGACCAGGGAATTTGGGCAGCAGACCGTGTTCATTACAGTTGATCAGCCACTGTACTTAAAAGCCAGAGAGATTGTGGCAAGTCGAGCTGGTGATCCTGAACTCACAGGCATGGTGGTTCATCTTGGAGGATTTCATCTATTGATGTCTTTCCTAGGGGCAATCGGGTACATTATGGATGGCAGTGGCCTCGCAGAGCTTTTTAACGTGGCATTTGCTGTTAACAGCACTATTAAAATAATGACTGGTCATGCCTACGCTAGACCAGTTCGTGCTCATATTATGGCACACACTATCCTGTCTTAGTTCATATTGGAGGATATCACCTTTTCGTTCTAAAGTAGAGAAGAACTAGAGCAGCTACTGTATGAAAGCAACCTTAAGCAACTCCTGAACACCAATCTGGAGTGTACAACAAGAGTGGCACAAAAATTCGAGGATGAGATAAACCGTTTGGGTAGTGTTGGGCCAACCGCCAAATTGTGTAGACTCAGTACCTGGAAATAGTGACAATTATGTTGAGGTTCATTCAGTCAGAAAGATTGGGAGACTGGCATTTATACCTAGAAACAATCTGCAACACGACCCCGTACTTTCACGCGAGTGGCCATTTCTTGTATGTCAAATATGCACGCTTATATCTGCAAGACATGTAAAGGCTGCAGAAAATGATGCCACCAGATGAATTTGCATCTTTCATGTCGAAAGGTGGCTTCACCATCAGACGAGGAGACGATTTGTGGTGCGGCACGTGGAGTGACATGACAATTGAACAGTTTCTGATGAAGCATATGACGACAGACGGAGGACTGACTCAAAGCCGAGGAGTCAGCGATGCCATTTTATCCAGGTGGACACAAGGCATGGCTGCTTGCCAAGAAGTGTGCGATGTGATCGGCACATTCTGCGGTACGACGGAGCAACATGTTGACAGCAGGGACAGCAGATTCAGACGAGACGATGAGGACATGAACAAGATGTTAAAATGGTTTCGCAACCATCCAACTTTCTTGCTCTATAAAGACATAATATCCATAGGTACAGGGGCCATCGGAGATTCCAAAACAATTACTTGCTATATGGCTAAAGAACATGGCGTCGAAAGAATGGAGAACCTTAAGACAGAGAATGAACAGGACAAATAATTTGGGACTGTCAATTACAAGAGAAGTGATCAAGTGTTACCTCTAGCAGTTGTCAGCACTGCGTTTATAATTGATGACCGAACTGTTTTCATAAAACCTTTGACTCTTTTCCAAAGAATCAGCATTGCCAAGCAGTCTGAGGAGGCGTTCTTAACATACGAACTCTGTCCATACCCTTTGGCTCTATTTGATGATATGGGCATGAGAAAGGGAACCAAATCAGCCTTGTACCAGGCTTTCCGACCGATGGCAAACATCTCTACCTTGGATCATGAAACACTGAATGTGATAGATGGTGGATTCCTGTTACATCGAGCTGTATGGCCACCAAACTCAAGTACCTTCTGTGATATCAGTCTCAGCTACATTCATTACGTTAAGTGCAAGTACAAGTCTAATGCCGTAATGGTATTCGATGGCTACCCAGATGATGATAATCTTAGTACGAAGTACATGGAGCGGATGCGAAGATCTGTTAAAAAGCATTGAGTCGAAGTCATTGTCCATGATGACAACTCTCCCAGGTGTTCACAAGAGAGTTTTCTCAGCAACTCCAAAAATAAAGAACGATTTATATCCTACCTCAGGAATAAGTTTGCCCAAGCCAACATTACAGCCTACCAGGCAGTGGAAGATGCTGACATCCTGATTGTAGACACTGCTCAGTCCTTGGCTTCACAAAACAAAAGTGTGACAGTGGTTGGCAAAGATGTTGATCTTCTTGTGATCATGATCGGAAAGAAAACTTCCGAAAACGTATACTGAATTCTTGGATTCTGGAAGAGGAGCGATGCCATCCACCTTGTACCATTCATCCACTGACGTGGATGAATAATTTGCAAGTTTTATACTCCTTCTTCACGCTATCAGTGGGTGCGATTCCATCTCTTTGTTTTATAATCAGGGGAAAATGAAATATTTGAAAATCTTGCGAAAGGATCCTAAGCTCCTAAAAAAGATGGAGGTTTTTTATGCATCTTGATGCCGACAAGACAAGAATGCACTGACTGATTGGTGAAAACTTTTATCATATCTTTATCTGGATCCTCCACTACAGCACCACATTGGATAAATTGAGATGCAGACAGTATGTTACAGCAGCGTACAAAAGTAACTGTAACATATTGCAATGCTCCCTCCAACGAGTGCTGCAGCACAGCACCATATATTTCGTACGTATCACCAAGTGCAAGTATGGCTGGGAAATCCATGTGAACCCACCCAATGGGGATGAAAGGCACCAGCACCGCCAGAGCTACTGGCCAAAATATCGTGAGGGTGCAAAAAAAATTGCACACGGAATTGTGGCTGCAGACGTGTAGGGCTTTTCTGCACCAGCGTCTGCAAATTCTGTGAAGGAACATGCAACAATGCAGATCGAGTTGATTTGCTGGAAGATGCAGAGCAGCAAGGGCTAGAGAATGACGACGTTGAGATCACTCCTGAAACCGAGAATAATGAAGGTAAGAAAACATGGAAGTATGAAGTTAATATGATCCTATGTGATTAGTTCTTCTTAGTGTTCCTTCTTTTTGTAACCATTTCAACTTTCTATCATCTCTGCTCTAGACAATGATGAACTGGTCGCTCTCCTACCCACGAAACTTTCCGACTTTGTGGGATACTCACCAGAACCAGAACCCTCGACTCTGGCCCACCAGCTCGAAAATACAGCTACATCCTCACACTCTGTCAAACGTAGATGTTCTAATAAATAGTCGCATGGTATGCGTTCCTATGATCCTCTAGCAAATGATTCAAATACACTACAATCTGTTTTTTTATGTATTAAGTGTTGTTAATTGTCCCAATAAATTCCTCCTTCACCTACCAAAACTACCGGCGGTTGTAGCAGCATTAGTTTCTCATTTTCAATATTCATTCAGCACACCTAAAAACATGAAGTAGGTACTACTGCCACGAACAATATTTAATAAAATTTAGTTCATATTAAATAAATAAGAAAAAAAAAACATGACGCGGCTAGAGGCGACCACGATAGCGCGCGGCAAAGTTGAAATTCGGATTCAGCACGCCTGAAAACATAGAGATCACAAACTACCAATTTCCTGGACTATAGGAATAAAAACAAGAAGAAATCAACCTTTATACATGACGACTCTGATCGAGAGGATAATCATACAAATGATGTAAAGACAAAAGTCTTTGTAATCGTGCACATTGGCAAGACAATGTGAGCTTAACTAGAATCCAGGAGGTCTACAATCATGAAATTTAAGTTGAAGCAACAGCAAGAAGACTACCTAAATAGGATATGAAATCACGTCACTCTAGAAGGAAAGCTAGATAATAATTGGGAGACGTCAGCCACACTGTCAGCCACAGACTCTAATAAAATGATCAAACGGATGCCAAGAAGAGCCATGATGGCTCTCTCCAATATTATCAATTTCATTTTGAAATTAGACCGCTTCCCGCAACGTTGAAAGTTTACATCTATAACTGTGATACGTTGTGGAATTAACAATAACAAATGCTACTTAATTGCTAATTAAAAAAAATATATATGAATTATTAATGAGCTCTTGATATGTCACTTTTTTAATAATTAACTCTCGCTAAAAATAATTTCATCGGAAATATCAACGTCACGAATTCATACCACACGATCGCAGAATCAATAAAATCGACGTCACTATATTTCGTACTTTACGAATATTGGCTACGATAAAATCTCGTTTTAAGGCACAGACAACCTTGTCAGTCGACGCCCAATTTCTTTTCAATTTCCGTGTTTCTGCAGGCTTGCACGGGCAAGATTTGCTGGCGTCATCGAACACATTTTCCGTATGGAAATTAATAGACTTCCTTTTTTTGGGGGCCCCTTTCAGGAATAGGGCTTCGCCAAGTTGAATTCGACAGAAATGGTCATTGTTTTTCCTGAGCTAGACTTAAAAAGCATCAGTTTATGTTACAGTGAAATTGGAAAAGCTTGTAAGGAAGATCGTAATTCAATACATTTTGTCTAGGGATATTTTCCATTGAGGGCAACATCCCCTGTGGAAAGTATATAGGAAACAGTCGTATAGGTAAAGTGTTTGCGAAGATTAAAGCCTCTAGAGCAAAGTTTTATGTCATACCTACTTCGATAGAAATGTCAAAAAAAGGGACTCTTGAATTTGGATATACATACTTGGAAGTATCTATATGAAAATATACTTCCATATTTTCTTTTAATTAAATCTTAAACTAGGTACTTATAATTGACAGAAATATTGTAGTACCTACGCGACACCATTTCTACGATCTTATATCGGTCGGTGCAGCTCCTCTGTATTATTTATCAAAAACCCATAGCATAGTTATTGAATAATTTAAACTACGTAATTATTGCTCATCAAAGTACTCATCAATTATTGATGAATCATAACGCATTAAACGTGTAAATCCATTAAACGAAATGACATCTTCCTATAGCGTATGAATCGCTAAATTGGACAATTTATTTGGAGTTCGAGCTGCAAATAATTACAAAACTTTTTGTTTAACATGTTAAATGAAAGGTTTTTAATTGAGTTTTCTGGTATTAATGAGCGGGAACGATATTGCGACTTATCAGTTGAAAATTGAAATTGGTGAGAAATAGAATAATCGATCATGTTAAGAAATAGCGCAATGGCTGTTTCAAGTCTACGAAATTTTTGGGTAAGTTATAATTTCCCGTATCAAAGAGATTATTAATGAGTATCCGATTGATCGATGCCGACAAGACAACCTTAGTTTTAATTAATAAATAATTTTATCTCGGATATCTACCATGATAAAGGGTGCTTCATAATGAAGTTCACAGTTGGAAGTTTAATAACTTTCAATATACATTCTAGATGTTGTTTAATGAGAAAATTCAATTTTGAAATATAGAGCGGAATTGAAAATATACAGAGTGTTCCAATATATACAGTCGTGAGCATTAAAAGTGGACTGACAGGTCTTTAATTTTTCGCTATTTTGGGTAAATCAGTCTTTTCTGTATACAACAGATTTTTTGTCAAATATGACAATCCCTGTCATTGCCCCACGGTGTAGCTGGTGAGCCCGTTTTACACTAGGAAAAATCCGGTGTCCCATTTTAATGCTCACGACTGTATAAATTTTTCTAACAAGTATCTAAAAAATATTTTTCCTACGACTGCCTCTGAAAATGGAGTTTTTCGCACGCTAGGCAACCTCTGAAATTAGAGTTTTTCGCACAGCGTGCGAAAAAGTTTTTCACACGCTCCAAGTTTTCTAACAAATGAAAATTACATATTTGGTTGTTTTATTTTGCAGTTGTAGGAAAAGCATTGTAAAAAACTCGTTTGAAAACCTTTTTTCACACTTGCTCGACTTGTGGAACTCGCCTACGGCTCGGTCCAACAAACTGTCTCGCCGTGCGAAAAAAGTCGTTTTCAAAACTTGTTGTTTAAATAACTATTTGAATACCTATGCATTTTGAACCACCGCTGTAATAATATTGTAATACACAATTAGGTTCTTTATTAAAAACTAATATGACGTGACCGGATAAAACAAATTATTATTATGTTTCTATATCAACAGGATAACTGAAACTCACCTCTATTATTTTTTGTTATCGATGGTGTCCACAGTCTACTGTGTATAGTATTTGTAATACCCATTTAGAATAACCCCATCCTTATTTATCAATCACGAATCAGATGAAACAAAAAATTACCAACAAAAACGAACGTCGATTGCTAATACGTCAATTTCATCTACAAATAGGAAATTCCTAACCTTATTTTATTTATGCGTCAAGAAGCGACATACGTTTTGTCACTAAAACGACAGGTACTTCTAAATAGGTATTAAAAATACTATACATTGTTCAAATTAAACTATCTCTACTAAATATTACACCTTCCCCTTACCAGAGAAAGCAAATAGCCTAAAGACGCCATTAATTAATCAATAACTAATATTAATAATATCTCTAACTTTACCTTAATACATAACAAAATCTGCAAATTTGACTAGTTTCCTAATGATAGATATACGATTGGAGTTCAATTTATTCAAAGTCTGATAAGTAGGTATGTAAACCAGAAGTAGGACTACTACCTGCAGTAACACAAGTTTATTGAAACTTCACTACAATAACCCAAGTTATTTTTACTATTGCTATTACAAATATCATAATATCTAAATACCTAGTTATTCTTACATTCAGGTGCATTAATAAAATTATCCGTAAATAATCACTATTGCGTCGCAGCACGTTACTACCCATTGTCAATTAAATAAGATCTAGGGGACTCATGTTTGGTCATTGTAGTCGCTGGGCACCACTGCTTAGAATCCCTATACACAACATTTTCTCTCTCTTTAAATTCGCATCTTTCCCTAGCATGTCTATCATAATATTCCTTATACAGAGTTTTTTCTTTTTCTGTTTCAACTTCTTGAACTCTGTAATTTCAGATTTTTATTTCCCTACAATTTTCAAGCCTTCTTGAAATTCAGCTGGTGATCTCTTTAAACTTGTAATAGATGTACTTCGATATTCCATTGAAGTTACCCAAATATCATCAGACTTGAGGCCACTTTACAGGTCGCTATTTTCACTTCCGGGCAGAAAACTTGCAGAGATTTTCATGACGGGCATGCGCACATCCATCCTCTCAGGGGATTTCTTGCGCTTGCTAGCTCCTGACCTATTTTACTAGCACTTGCATGTGCAAGTCTCAATATTTTTCAAATTGGCTGTACGACATAGTTATCGATAGGGTTTATTTACCTTTTAATAATTTATAAGGTGAATTGAATAATTTTTCTGGCCTTATGCATGGCAATTGAATTTTTCCTAATTTGTTCCACCATATGCTTCTAACATGATGGGTACCAGCATTTTCTAATTTGCGACATCTATCGTCTATACAATATTGTCATGAACGGCTGAAAGCGGAATCGCATTCTTGGGTCCAATTAACTGTTGATTTTTCTTCCGGTAATCGATGAAGCTATATTGGCAAAACCTTCCACAAATCTTCGGTAAAAAGAACATAAACCCAGAAAACTCCTTAGTTCATGTTTGTCGCGTGGCTTTGGCCAATCCCTGACAGCATCTATCTTTCCTTCCATAACTTGTAGGCTATCTTCAGATACCACGTGACCCAAAAATTCCACTCTCTTTTAAAACAGAAAACACTTGTTTGGGTTGAGATTCAAGTTGGCATTCCGGAAGCGGTCAAAAACTTCTTTCAGGTTATTGAGATGTTCTTGGAACGAATTTCTCATGATCATGCATGACATCATCCAAATATACCAGGCAAGTTCTCCATGTAAGGCCTTGCAAAACAAGATGCATCAGTCGCTCAAACGTAGCTGGAGCATTACACAATCCGAAAGGCATTACATCAAACTCGTATAACCCGCTTCCGGTACTGAGGGCAGTTTTCTCTTTGTCATCTTCGTGTATTGCCACTTGCCAGTATCTTTAATATCCAAGGTGGAAAACCATTTGGAGCCCGACAGAGTTGTTAATGTATCGTCTATCCTCGGAAGAGGGAAGCTCTCCTTCTTGTTGACGTCATTAAGCTTACGGTAGTGTACACAAAATCTAAGAATTCCATCTTTCTTTGTAACCAATACTACTGGCGCAGACCATGGACTTTTTGACTCTTCAATAGTTCCCTCTTGAAGCATTTTGTTGTTTAGCTACTGGCATACGTCGTGGTGGCTGCCTAATTGGGTGTGCCAATCCAGTATCAATTTTGTGTTGAATCAAGCTGTTCCGTTCGGTTTGATTATCCATCACAAATATGTCTGCTTCTTTCAAGATGAAATCTTTGGCTTCTTGAAGTCTATCTGGGTCAAGGTGTTTTCATGATTTCTCCAAGGTCTGCATCAATGTGTCTGTATCCAATTTCGATTTTTCAAATTGTCGCTTATCTGGTAGCTCACAGTTCGATATTTATTTAACTTAACGAGAAATCTTTCTAGTTTATCTCCAATAAAATTATGTGTTAGTCCAACGCAGCACCCAGGGTTTGTTTCTAATTTTCCGCAAATGATCTTCTCAGTACCTCCAGGAATCCTCACTGTGTTTGTGGCCAGGATCTTAATGGCTTGTGATTCTTCTTGTGTAGTTAGGACAAATTCTTTATTACCAAATTTAAGGATGTTCACAGAAGGATCAAAAGAGAAACCATGTTTGCCGATCAAATCCATTCCCAAAATAAAATCATCTTCTATATCGGCGACTAATGTTCTGTGCCTGACGGTGGTAGATCCAAAAGTAAGCTCAACCATAGCTTCTCCTTGAACTGGTGCTGATTCGCCCGTGACTGTTCGTAGTGACAGGTTTCTAGTGAGTGGTTGGATTGCTCGAGACTTGACTAATGTTCTTCTAATTATAGAAACTTCAGTACCCGTGTCAAAAGTGATGGTTTTATCTTGTCCATTAATTTTTCCTTCGAATTTTAATCCTCTATAATGACTGCCCAATGATTTTATGTAACCAACCCTGGGGGCTTCGTCATTACTAACCAGCCTTCACGCCTCTATACTGGTTAGTTCTCGTTTCCCTGTCTGTTATTAGGGCTGGCTTCTCTAGATCTCAAAAAGCGTTGGAAACGATCCCTAGATGGAGAGGACATTCTTACTCTACAATCTTGTTGAATGTGTCCAAGCTTATGGCACCAATAACATCCTAATCGGTTTCTCGGTGTTAGTGTTTGTCCGGAGTCGTTTCCCGTTTTTCCGCCTTCTAGTAATAGTTTCTTAATTTCCTCTATGAAATTACTCATAACATTTACGAAACTACCATCCTCTTTTGTCGATTGTTCATCCTTTGGATCTTCAATGGACACTGCTGGTATTCTGGGTCGTGAGGCACCAAAAATTGCTTCTAGCTCCAAGGTCTTCGCTACTTTGTCTGAACTTAGACATTCTCAGGTTTTCCTGGATCTTGGAATCTCTGAGACCATCAATAAACGCAGATACTGCCATCCATTCCTGCATCTCTTCCCCAGCTGCAGGAAACGCCAAATTCACTAGCCTTTTAACTTCCGATTCGAATTCTTGTAGACTCTCGCCGGGTTTTTGAACTCTTGATTCAACTTGAGTTCTGAATACTTCTTGTCTGTAATGGTCTCCGAAGCGCAATTCTGACGTTTGACTAAGATGCTGGTAATTTTGTTGGTAGATTGAAGGAATGGACTGTAGAAGATCTAAGGCTGGTCCTCATAGCGCCACTATCAGTGCTGTAGCTTTTTCTTGATCGTTCCATCCATTGGTATTTGCAGCAGCTTCAAATTGTTGAATATACATGGTCCAGGACGTAGAACCGTCAAAAGTTGGTGGTTTTATCTTCATACTGGAGAATGCTCCAACACTAGCTGGATTGATGGAATGTATTCTTAATATACGCACCTTATCTTCGAGTGCTTGAACCTGGTCATCAACTTCTTGTCTTAATTGCTGAGCATCGCCTTTAACTTCTTGAACATCGGCTTTGACTTCAGCTTTTACTTCCTGAACGTCGTTTCTAACTTCTTGCACATCGTCTTTAACTTGTACAATCTTCTGATCTAGGTTAGCGACAGTTCCTTATATGGTTTGGAATATTTTCTGTAGTATGCCAAGGTCTTCTTGCCGTTCTTGTTGTCGCCTAGCCTCTTCTTGTTGACACCTATCTTCTTCTT